ATTTCTGCAAGCACACAGGAATATTCTTTTTATTTTGTAAACTAATTGTCTTAATAGTTTCTGACAAATAATGTGTGACTAAATGAGGCTTGGACCCAGCACTATGCATATCAAGTCACCTTTGAAATGCTCCCAAGCATCTTTACAATTGGAAAGGAACATTTTTAAGGACTCAATAAGCAACAGTCAAGTCCTGTGATACAAAATTGTCACTTGTCTATTCTCTATCAATTATTAGTCATAGTAGGAAAGTTTAGATTTTTACCACATTCTCCACAATGTTCTTTTTTTGTGTGTGGTGAGGTGGAGTGGGATGTAAGCATTTGGGCTCCGTAGTTTACATGAAGAGGTCAGAGGACAATATTAAGTATAGGTTCTCTCCTTTCACCATTTTTGCAACAAGCTCTCAATTTCGTACCTGCCTAAGCCACTTTAAGCCTTTAAGCTGTACCCACTATGAAAATTTACTGTGACTACATCCCAACTCAATGTAGGCGGGCAAAAATTATAGATGTATGTTACTGGTCCTAGTAGCTTTATGTAGGCTCTGCACATCAGAACTCAGGACCTAATGTATACATGTAAAGTGCTTCACATACATGGTAAGTGGTTTACCCACTGAGAATATTACCAGTCCAGTTTGCTATTGAAAAGGATTTGACTTATAAGAACTTGACCCTCTTTTAAGTCTGCACATAGTTGAAAATTATAGAGATAGACATTTAGTAAACAGACCCATGGCTATCATCTTGCTTCATTAATCTACTGACGGTTACTTCTGGGTCATTAACAAAACCTCATGAAAAAGGAGTTTCGACATATTTCTCAAGGAATCCTCAGAATGACAAAATGCCCTTATTCCTAGAACAGATCTTAAAGGTGACAAGAGGTGAGACGAGTGTCAACAAATGGGTGCAGTGGAAAACAAAAAAAGCAACAAGACATAGAGTGGACATTCTTGTAAAGAATAGAGCCGAGTTATTTCAGTGTTATATGACACAGTTCAAACTGTGAGTTTTTGACATAAAACTCCATTTTACATTTTGTTAGTTGAGCTACCAGTTATTTATTTACTGTTCTAGTATCCTATATCTTATTGGGATGAACCCTCCTAGCCAAAAGAAAGAAGAAGGGGCTTATACTTCCGGTCACAGACTGTCACTGAGGGGATTCAGGGTAAGAACTTAAAAGTAAAAAACCGTGAAAGGGCACTATTTGCTATCTTGTCCATTGGCTCATGCTTACCTAGCCATCTCACACAACACAATCTGTAGGGATGTTACAGTCCACATCAATTAACAATAAAGATAATCCTCCACAAACCTGCCCACAGACCAATCTGAACTGGGTTTTTTCCTCAGATGTCAAGTTTACACTTAAACCTGAAATTTTAAATGCTAGAAGTTGAGCCCCTAGGTTGGTGCTAGAGGAGCATCCTAACACCAGCACATATACTGAGCTCACCATTTTAATGTTGAACACTCAGCATTCATTTTGGGTGTTGTTTGCTTCTCCAGTGACTTAATGTTACTATCATTAATTAGATTGTTCCAAATTATGCATCACCTGCTTTTCTCAAATTTACTTTTCTTAACCTCCCCTCTTTGGAACAAAAACATAGTTGAAAATCATTCATTTAAGCTGGAGAACATGTTAATGTTCTTAAATGCTGTCTTAACTTTTCTTGGATGTGAGGTTCCAGTTGTACTTTGCTGGACTTAGAAACAAAATACTAAATGATGGGAACTTCTAGGTGTTTGTAATTTCCAAATTATTTGCATGCAGTGTAAAAAATATATGGATATTTAATTATGAAGGGTTGTTTTTTAAATACAAAACAAAATAAAATACAACTAACAATAGACCTTCCAAGATTAGTGTAAATAGCTCATAAATTATTAACTCTACCCAAAGGCAGTGCTATGTAAATTTAATTTTAGGCCCTGGATGCCTCCTATGTTAGCTGCTCAAAAGCACTGTACTCTGTATTCAAGAATACAGAGGTATTACTCACCTTGAAAATGTAATATTATAAAGGCACTGCCATTAGTGATTTTATGTTCTTCTGCAGACTACAGACCCTTCTTGAATTGGAAACAATGAATATGTTCAGTTAATAACTTTCTTCTCTTTCAAATTTTATGACTAAAATATTGAGTGCTGTTTTATAGCCTTCATTAATTATATTCTGTAGACTCAGTTGTCCACTTTAGGCAAAGAAGACTTTAAGAAGCTGAAATGAAACTGATGCTAAGAAATCAGGGGTTTTAAATGAGTGATCATGAATTCAGGAAACAAGATTTTCCAAAGGTTGGAAAGACAACTGAATATCATGTGCTGTGTAATTTGTGAGAAGTCTTTCCATGTCTCTCTACTGTACAATTTGTGTGTGTGTGTGTGTGTGTATGTTACTCAATAATCTCATATTCAAGTATAGGATAAGATTATTGCTGAAAAGTTCATTTCCTTTAGATAACTGTGCACAGAGATTTCGCACAGCTTACGAGCAAATTTAGTTCTGAGGAATTCTAAAGGAATCCTACTAAGAGGAAACCTTAAACAGCGGTGGATTCCATAAATCTTGTGACTATGAGAGTTACACCATTTACACCATCACCATGGAACAAAACTAAACTTCTTTACTCCTCTATTGATGTGGTATTTTTTCCTTTTTTTTTTTTTTTTTTTTTTTTTAACCTTGGACTGAAGATTGAACTCAGTTTCTACTACATGCTAGGTAAGTGTCCAAACAGTAAGCTACTATCCCTCTACCTTTTTTCCACTTTTGATTAGAAATTAGAAATAGTCTCTCTAAATTGCTCTGAATGCCCTTGGAATCCTGTTGCCTTTATCTCCCCAGAGCAGGCAGTCCTGACATAGGTTCACATTTTGACAGAATTCAGTTCTTGTCTATATGTTTAAATGGAATAACAATTTGGTTTCTATAGAAAAACAAACAAACAAAGGAATGGATGAGATTCTGACCCTATTATTCTGACTCCTATTATGAGCAACTAACTTTTTACAAGACCTAGACAGTCCTAGAACTATGTATGGCCATCTTAGTCAAATTTAGTTTCCTTGTCTCCAACATGTAAATCGAATGTCCCGACTAAGTATCAGTATAAGAGCACTTTGAACAATGCAATTTGATTTTTATTAGCTAAGTGCACATACCAATCCTGCTTATTTTCACTGTGAGATAAATGTCCCAGTCTGCTGGTGTGACTCTTGGTAACCTATGATTTCATAGCTGACCTAAAAACATTCAGGACAGGAACTGTCTTTAAAAAGAATCAGGATTAAGCAGATTTTCCTGCATCTTAAGCAGTCATTCTCCATAATTGATGGTGATGTCTAAAACCAACCCAGTCAGAATACCACAGAAATTATGTAAAATGTAGTAAGTGAAACTGCACTACTGCTATTTTTCAAAAATAATGCATTTCCCTTAGAATTCAGGTCAAGAAGAGAAACGAAATTATCATTTATGCATAGCCTCAATTCTACAACCCCCTCTCATTACATGGAAGAAACAAACGCCCCCAAGGATTCTTTTGAAGTGGTTTGGAGTTATTATGCTTGTCTAACTTTTTTTTAGCTAGGGTTGTTTGTTGGGCTTGAAATGTAATTTTAAAATGTAACTAATGTGTTTCTGCCACCATTACAAGAAATACACATCGCAAAAATGAATGCATACTCATTTTAGCCTGTAATATTTGTTTTAAAATTATCACATTTGAAGCCAGAGCAAACATATGAGATCATTTCTTTCCCTCTGCCAACAACATGATTTCCCCACCCATGTGGACAATCAAGTGAGCTTCAGGGTTCCAGCTTGCTTCCCACAGTCTGTGAACACAGGCTAGTGTCCCTGATGGGAGAAGACTAGTTAGGCAGCCCTTGAGAGATTGTGCCTACTGTGCAAAGAACACAGTGTCTGTGAGCTCACTCTGTAGGATAAGAAGTAAGCAAGACTTAGCAGAGTTACACGCGCCTCTGCTTTACGATCCTCCGCATATTAAGGGCTATACTCTTTCTCCACGTGCGTTCCAAGTGCCGGGACATACATGCACACACATGTGCACACGTGTGCAACGATCATCCCGAAGACTCCGGCCAGGACAAGTCCCTAGCACTCCCAGCCCGGCTCCTCCGCCCATCCCCACCCACCCGGGCTCCACGTGGGCGCACCCAGGCGCCAGGGAGCCGCAAGGCCCTCGGAGCCCAGGGCCTGCCCCGAGCTGAGAGGGAAGGCGCGGCCCGGGGCGGGACAGACAAAGCTGGCGTCCAATTGAGCCCAGCATTGGCTCCCCGAAAGGAGGGAGCAGAGGCTCACGCGGGCCCAATGAGCTGGGAGCCCGAGTGGGACTTCCTCCCGGAATCCCGTTGGCCATGATAGCGGGGCCGTGGGTGACACGTAAGTTGGGTGGGAGGTGGCGGACCGCTGGAACTGCCAGATCAGTGACATCGGCCCCCCGACCCCCCCAACCCGGTCAGAGCAACCTGTCCCCATCTCTCTACCATCCACGGTGGACCGTGCGCGGGGACGCCGCTGGGAGCCAGGTCCCTTTGTTGGCCGCGCGTCCCCTATCAGTGGTAGCCACAAAGTCCAGCAGCCGGAGCCGGCGCAAGGGGCGGGGACAGCCGGTGGGGACAGCGAGGCCAAAAAGTGAGGAGGAAGGAAAGCCGGGCAGAGGGCGCCTGGAGACCGGCAGCAAGGGCAGCGGGCTCTGAAGTATGAAAAGGGACCCCACGCGGGCCCAGACACTCGCTGAGATCCGACGTCGCAGAAGTTTAGTGGCGTCTACCCGGGTGGTGTCGATGGCCTGGCGCCCCGCCGTGCGCGGGGGCTGAACGGCCGCCTCTTCCCCTCTGGCCCCGCTTTTGTGTCTTTCGTCTTCAGCTCATGCAGCGTCCATCTACTTCTCTCGGTGGCCTCTGCTGAGCCGCCCGACTCAGCCAAGGACCTAGGACACCACGGCGCCCGCCGCCGCAGCGCGGGGCGCAGGAGGGACTATGGGAAACGGGATGTGCTCCCGAAAGCAGAAGCGGATCTTCCAGACGCTGCTACTACTCACCGTGGTCTTTGGCTTTCTCTATGGCGCGATGCTCTACTTGGAACTGCAGACCCAATTGCGCAAAGCCGAGGCGGTGGCGCTCAAGTACCAGCAGCATCAGGACTCACTTTCTGCCCAGTTGCAAGGTACAGTTAAGGGGACACGCGCGGCCAACTTCGCTCAGCGCTGGTGCTGGGGCTGGGAAAGTAGCTTGGTGTGCAGGTACCACCCATTGACCTTCTGGACAGCCGCCCGGGCTGCTGGCCTCAGTGTGTTTAGAGAGGTAACATCCCGGTTTTCCTTTTTCCTCGCAGACGTTATCTTTGAAAATCACAGCACCAGCTTATCGTCCTGCCTGGCTATGCAGGGGAAGCGGGGCTGGGGATGAGGGTGGTGCATACAACACAGGGCATTTTACATGCAGCACTTGTCAAAGGCCCAGCTGTAATCTAGGCAAACAGCCCTCCTGCCACATCTGCCAACACTTTCCCAAGAGGCATGCCCTGGTTTGTAGATATGGAGAGTTAAGCAGACATTTCCTAACTGGTTCTCCTTTTCAAGGAAAAAAAAAAAAAAAAAAAAAAAAAAAAAGGCTATACACTAGAGGCCTGTGAATGGAACCAGTTAGCTTTTATTGTTATTATTTTGCTGGTTTAATAGGAAACATGAGAAATGTTGGGTATGATGGAAAAGTCCACACTACTTGACTGCTTATTATCCTACAGATGATTGTTTTTTGAAAGGCTTGTCTTCATGTGGAGGCCTTTAACTGATCACAGAGCTCTGTGTGTGCATATTCATGAACGCACACACATGTTTTACAGTTAGTTTTGGGAAGTCAAAAACAAGAAACATAAAATTTTACCTTGCCAACGACAGAAGACAGAACTTGTTCAAGACGTTCAAAACTTGTGTCCTTCTATTTAAAATAAGAAAGTCACACTGACAGTGACTTTCTAAGGCCCAAATGATTCATGAGTGAGTGCATGTAAACACTTTGTGGTTCTGTTAAAGACTATACATACATACATATATATGTACACACACACACACACACACACAATATATATATTGCTTTTACCTGTCCGGTTGGGTTGTTTTCAACACTCATGCAACTCTCCAACACAAAAGAAGTGAGAAATAACTCCTCACTTTTTGGCCTCGCTGTCCCCACGATGACCGTACTTCTTGATGATGGCTTATTGAATCTTCCTGGATGGATTTAAGCTGACGGGGTATTCCTGACAGTGGATGTGTGTACAAATATAAAACAGATGCTGTTGTACTTGATCCAGCTATATGGAGCATTTTCTAGTAAGACTTTTAAGGTAGGCGAAAATGATATGCAGCTATTTGCTTAGTTTTTGTTTTTCCAAACTTAGAAGAAAAGGAAGTATTTTTAGCTTCTTCAGGCTGCCCTGCCCCAGGCAATGAAAATATGTGCCTGGGCTTCTTTCAAAAGGAAAGCCTGTTTTGATTCTCTAGTATATTAAATGCAAATTGGAGGTATGGGAATTTACCCATGAGTTATGAGTTGTTGGTATGAGAAGAGTGTATATTCGGCTTATTTACTTAACAAAGTATCATGGATTCCCCATGAGCTTCAGTGTGGGTATACATGTGTAGACTTGCCATTTGCACAAATATGAGGGCCAGAGGTTGGTATCAGGAAGTCTTCCTTAATCCAGTATCTCTACTTTATTTTTCTGATACATGGTCCCTAACTGAAACCTGAATACCTGTTTTGGCTAGGTTGACTAGCCAGCTAATACCTGGTGTGTGTGTGTGTGTGTGTGTGTGTGTGTGTGTGTGTGTGTGTGTGTGTGTGTGTATGTGTGTAGCCATGCACACGCTCGCGCACACACCACCATATATGTATGTTCGTGTGGAGGCCAGAGACTGGTGTGCAGTGTGTTTTTGTTTTGTTTTGTTTTTTCCATTCTCCACCTTATTTCTTGAGACAGCCAGACTGTCTCAAGATCCTTTGTTTTTAATCCACACCCCAACACCCAGATTGCAGGCATACACCACCATAGCTGGGCTTTTAAATGGGTCATAGGGCCTATACTGGGGTCCTCAGCTTGCATAGGAAGCAACTAAGTGACTGGCTGAGCTGTGCCCCCAGCCTCTGACATCTTTCTTAATTGATACTTTTTGCCATTTCCTTTTGGCTGGCAGTGCAACAGTCCTAATGATTGTGTATGAAGAAATTAGTTCACAAGCTGGTTAAAGTTTCTCCTTTTTTCAAAAGAGGATTCAGACTTGTCTTTAGCAACATCCATTTTCACATCTGCAGGTTATTTAGTAATGAGCACTTTTTGATCACTTGTAGCATTTGTTTTCCCTTTCCCAGGACAAGTGACATTTTATCTGGTGGTGTTACATACTACCTCCATACACAAATCTTTAGAGCATCTAACTCTGTTTGTTTTTGCTTTCTTTATTTTTTGATATATGTATGTATGTATGTATGTATGTATATGTATGTATATGTACATGTAAATGTGCATGAGTCTGGAGGCCATAGAGTAATGCAAGATGTCTTTTCTCATTTGGTCTCCACCTTTACTTTTTGAGATGGGTCTTTCACTGGCTTCAGAGTCATTGGGTTACAGAGCAAAATGTAGGTCTCCAAGCTGAAACCAGATTTACTGACTGAGCCATCTCTAGACACCTCCCTCCCTCTCTTCCTTCCTGCCTCCCTCCTTTACTCACTCACTCACTCACTCACTCACTCACTCACTCACTCACTCACTCACTCTTACCTTCTCTCCCTCCCCCTTTGTTTCCTATGACTTTATTATTTAAGTGATATCTCTTTATTTAGCTCAGATAAAGGTCAGGGTTAATTTTGAGTGGTCTTCTTTTAAAATATGACTCTTGAAAAAGTTGAATTAAGTGTTTCTTTATCAAATGGTACACATTTGTTTTAAGTGAGCATCCTTGTTTTATCTTCATTTGAAGAACAGGGTATACTTCAGGGTTCTTCGAACAGAAATTACTCTTTTGTATAATAGTCCTATAACTGGAACTGGAGAATAACATGGAAAGGCTCAGAGACCAATTAGATGATGGTCTCCACAGAAAGCCATGTTAATATCTTCTGCATTCATGTATCTGTTTACTATCCGTCTGTCTGCCTGCCTGCCTGCCTGCTTGCCTGTCTATCTTCATCTATCTCCTATCTCATCTATCATTTATCTATAATCTATGTATCTATCAGCCATCTATGTATCTAGCTCCTGTATTAGTGCCTTCATTGTACCAAAGAACAGGGCAGAGGTCACTTACTGTGGCAGAAGTAGTAGCAACCTTTGTTCAGTACACTGTTTACATAACATTTGAAAGTTTCCTCCTGCTGCTTTCAAGTGAACCACATGCCAACCTCTTCTGCTCACAGTCTGCCTCCTGTTAGACTGCCCATTTAGAGCACCTTGCATCTCCCACATCAATTAAATCACATCTGTGGGGGTGGAACCCAGGCTTCAACCAACAGTCTTTAAGGCTCCCTAGCTGATTCCAGAGGCAGCCATGGTTAAGAGCCCTGTCTCTCTAATCTGTAAACTAAGCCACTTCAAACATCCTCTCTACTTGCTTGCCCCCAAGAGTGTTTTCATCGCTTATCCTGGGCATGTGATTAAAAGCAGACTGGTTTCTGGATTGTGTTCCAATTCTAGCTCTGCAACTTTTTTTTTTTTTTTTTTTTTGTGAAGTTGGGCCTAATTTTTCTTACTTATTAAATGGAGATTAGAATGACTCATTTTATCAGGGTTATTGTGAGGATTAACCAGAATAATTTCCATGGAACCCTTAGCAAAAACCTGGAATACAGGAGAAATTGTGTGATCATCAGGCTCCCCCTTTGAGGTAGATAATCTGTTTCTTTTTGTCTTCCCATCTTGGTCCTGGGCTCAATTTGGAGATTGGCTAAGTTCTCAGTACAGTTATCTGCCCTCCTTTGTTTCTAAGTATGCATCAGAAAAGTAGATAAACTGGTATAAGCCAGTGCACTTTATCCTGGAGAAGGATGACTCTTCCTTGGCAACTTAAACACAGAATTAGGGTTTGGTTACTGATTAACACCTCTGTATCACATCAGATTAGGAGAGGTGTGCAGCTTTGGAGGTAATGACTGTGTGTAATAAGGTCTGGAATAGGATGTAACTAACACACATTTAAGGATATTAACTGTATTTCCATGAAACACTGGGCTGAAATATGTCATTGATAATGAAATACCACTGAAGAAGATATCTACAATGTTTCACATACTCTAAATTCAAACAGATATGTTGTAATTGTTTAGAAGCAAAGGGTTTGAGAGTTTGGTGCTTCTAAGCAACTCATTTGTTACTTAAGTTTGCTGCCACCTGGACAATACCCTAGCCTGACAGGAAGGTATTACATTGTGTTATGGCCTTTTTGTTTTCCAATGCTCCTGCATTTGTTTTAAAACAAAAGCCCTTCAGTTCAAGCTCAGGCTTTTTACAGTCCTTCCTCTTTCCTCCCTGTGCCAAGCATATAATTTATACTCAGTAAACAGAAGGTGCATATCAATAGATGTTCTTAATAATGGTGGGTGGGATAATATTATTAGGTATTGGCTAGTGAGGCAGAGAACATCAACTTCTTATGCTTTCTCCTACCTATGTGACCTTGGACTTACTTGTCTAAGGACAAAGTTTCTTATAGGTTTCCATGTGGCCCAATATCTAGTATGATATGCTGGATGAGTGGAGCTCGCAATTAGAACTACCATTGAAGGCTTCTGGGCAACAGAGTCCTTCATGGACCTTAGTAATTTAGTCCTTAAGTGTGCAAGTATGGTCAGTGTTTGGAAGGTATAATCATCTCCACATGCAGAGTTATGCCTTGTAACATCAATTAAACCTTGCTTTTAAATAGCCATCTGCATTAAAGTATATGTACCACTTAAAAATAGTATGCTTTCCTTAAATTACTGATGTGGTTGAAATGTGAAATGTGCATGTTGGGCTTAGGTGTCTGAATAGTTGATTGTCTGGTGGCAGGGCTGTTAGCAGGTTGGGAAATTTTAGGAAGTGGAACTAATTAGAAGTGGGTCATTGTGTGGAGAGGTGAGGGTTATAGCCTCTCGAATTTCAGGGGAGGTCTTTCTGTGGTTTGT